CCCACGTTTATAAAACAAGCCCTTTTTAATCTATAAAAACACTTAGAGAGCCATATAATAGTAGTGGGAGACTTCAGCATCCCACTGACAGCATTAGACAGATCACTGATGCAGAAAACTAGCAAAATAATTCTGGATTAAACTCAACACTGGACCAATTGGACCTAACAGGCATCTACAGAGCACTAACCAATCACATAATATATATTCTCATCTTCTCAGAGATCACATGTTTAGTCATAAAGCAAATCTCAATAAATTAAAAAAGACAAAATCATATCAAGCACACACTCAGACCACAGTGCTTTAAAAATAGAAATCAATACCAACATATCTCAAATCTGTACCAATACATGGAAATTAAACAACTTGCTCCTGAATAACTCCTGAGTATAAAACCAAATTAAGGCACAAATCAAACAATTCTTTGAAATTAATAAAAATAAGATCCAACTTACCAAAATCTTTGGGATGCTGTTAACGCAGTGCTAAGAGGAAAGTTTACAGCTCTAATATGCCTCAATTAAGTAGTAAGAAAGACTTCAAAATAAAAATCTAAAATTCCACCTAGAGGGACTAGAGAATAAGAACAAACCAACTCCAAAGCTAGCAGAAGAAACAACTAAAATTATAGAAGAATTGAACTAAGTTGAGACGTAAAAATCTATACACAAGATCTATGAAACCTAGAATTGGTTCCTCAAAAGAATAAACAAGATATATCACTAGCTATATTAACAAAGAAAAAAAGGAGATCCAAATAAGTCTAATGAGAAATGACAATGATGATATTATAACTAATCCTATAGAAATCAAAAATCCTCCAATACTGTTATGAAAAATTCTATTCACATAAATTAGAAAATCTTGGGGAAATGAATAAATTCCTGGAAACACAAAAGCTCCCAAGATTAAACTAGGAAGAAAGTAAAAACCCGAACAGACCATTATAAGTTTTGAAATTTAATCATTAATTTAAAAATCTACCAACCAAAAAATTTCCTAGACCAGATGAATTCACACCCAAATACCAGCAGACATACAAAGAACTGGTAACAACCCTGCTGAAACTATTCCAAAAACTCAACAAGGAAAGGCTTCTCTATAACTCATTCTATGAAACCAGCACCAGCCTGATACCAAAATCTGATAGAGACACAACAACCAAAAAGAGACAATGTCAGGCCAATATCCCTGATGAATATAGACACAAAAGTTGTCAACAAAATACTAGTAAACCAAATCCAGGAGCACATCAAAAAGTTAATACATCATGATCAAACTGGCATTATTCCTGAGATACAAGCCTGATTCAACAAGTGCAAATAAGTAAATGTGACTCACCACATAAATAGAATTATGAGGAAAAACGATTAACATATGATCATCTCAACAAATGCAGACAAAGCTTTTGATAAACTTCAGCATCCCTTTCCATTCATGATAAAAAAGACCCTCAATAGTCTTGGTATTGAATGAACATACCTCAAAATAATAAGAGCCATCTATGATAAACCCACAACCAACATCATACTGAAAGGGCAAAAGCTGGAATCATTCCCCTTGAGAAATGAAATAAAACAAAGATGTCCACTGTTGTCACTCCTATTCAACATAGTACTTAAGTCCTAGCCAGAGGAATCAGACAAGAGAAAAAAAATAAAAGGCATCCAAATAGGAAAAGAAGAAGAAAAGCTATCTCTCTTTGTTGACAAATGATTCTATACCTAGAAAGCCCTAAAGACTCCACCAAAAGTCTCCTAGACTTCATAAATGACAGATAAGAGACTTCAGTAAAGTTTCAGGACCCAAAAGCAATGAACAAAAGTGAGTAGCATTTCTATCTGTCAATAATGTTCAAGCTGAAAAGTCAAATCAAGAACACAATTCCATTTTCAATAGCCACGAAAATTAAATATCTAGGAATACAGCTAATCCAGGAGGTAAAAGATCTCTACAAGGAAAACTACAAAACACTGATGAAAGAAATCAGAGATGACACAAATAAACAAAACAACATTCCTTGCTCATGGATTAGAAGAATCAGTATAATTAAAATGGCCATACTGCCCAAAGCAATTTACAAATTCAATGTTATTCCTATCAAACTACCAATGACATTTTTCACAGAGTTAGAAAAAGCTATTCTAACATTAACATAGAACCATAAAAATGGCCAAATAGCCAAAGCAATCCTAACCAAAAAGAACACAGCTGGAAGCATCACACTACCTGGCTTCAAACTAAGCTATAAGGCTGCAGTAAGCAAAATAGTGTGGTACTGGTAGAGAAGCAGACACATAGACCAATAGAACTAAACAGAGAAACCGGAAATGAAGCTGCACACCTCCTACCATCTGGTCTTCAACAAAGCTGGCAAAAACAAGCAATGGGGAATGGATTCTGTATTCAATAAATGGTACTGGGATAACTGACTAGCAATACACAGAAGAATAAAACTTGGACCCTTATCTTTCACCATGTAGAAAAATAACTCAAGATGGAATAGAGTTTTAAATGTAAGACCTCAAACTGTAAAAATCCTAGAAGAAAACCTAAGAAATATCTTTCTCTACATCGGCCTGGGTAAATAATTTTTGGCTAAGTCACCAAAAGTAAGTGCAACAACAAAAAAAATTGACAAGTGGGACCTAATTAAACTGAAGAGCTTCTGCACAACAAAAGAAACTATCAATAGAGTAAACAATCTACAGTATAGGACAAAACATTCACAAACTACACATCCAACAAAGGTCTAATATCCAGAATCTATGAGGAACTTGAACAAATCAACAAGCAATATCCAAATAACCACATTAAAAAATTGACAAAAGACATGAACAGACACTTCTCAAAAGACGTACAAGCAGCCAACAAACATATAAAAAATGCTCATCATCACTAATCCAGAGAAATGCAAATCAAAACTGCAATTAGATACCATCTCATACCAGTCAGAATGACTATTATTAAAAAGTCAAGAAATATCAGATGCTGGTGAGATTGTGGAGAAAAGAGAACATTTATACACTGTTGATGTAAATGAAAATTAATTCAGCCACCGTGGAAAACAGTTTGGAGCTTCTGCAAAGAACTTAAAACAGAGCTATCATTTGACCCAACAATCTCATTACTGAGTATATACTCAAAGCAATATAAATTGTTCTACCAAAAAGACGCATGCACCCATTTGTCCATCGCAGCACTATTCACAATAGCAAAGACATGGTATCAACCTAGGTGCCCTTTAATGGTGGAGTAAATAAATAAAATGTGGTATATGTAAACCAAGGAATACTACACAACTGTCAAAAAGAATAAAATTATGTCCTTTGCAACAACATGCATGCAGCTGGAGGCCATTATCCTAAGCAAATTAATAAGAGAACAGAAAACCAAATGTTGCATGTTCCCCCTTGTAAGTAGGAGCTAAATATTGAATACACATAGACATAAGGATGACTACGATATACACTAGTGACTACTAGAGGAGGTAGTATGGGAGAGGGGTGTGGGTTAAAAAACTCCCTATTTGTTACTATGCTCACTACTCGGGTGGCAGGATCTGTAACCCAAACGTTAGCATCATGCAATCTATCCACATAAAAAACATGCATGTATACCCCCGAATCTAAAACTAAAAAGTTGAAATTATATTTAAAAATTGGGACAGCCTAATGTTTTTCAATAGAAAAACCAATAAATGAATTATGAAAAATTTATAATAAGGTATTCTGTGTTCCACTAAATAGTATCAGACAGATCTTTGTGTATTCATAGAAGGATATCAGTAATATACTATTTAGTGAATACAGAAAAATCTTAGCATGAAAGAGAAAGATGCCATTGCTCTCAGAAAAAAAAAAATGTTTCTCTGCTTTTTTATACATAAAAACAAAAATAGGACTAAATCAATATTATCCAAATCAAGTCTAGTTATTTTTGTGGAGTTTGATGAAGGTAGAATTTCACTTAAAACTTTGTTAATCTCCTAATTATTTGAAATGTTTTTGATAAATATTTTAGTTTCATAACTTAAAGTATTAAATGATTATTATTCAAAACAGTTAAAATAACCATTCAAGAAGGAGTTAGCATGATTTATCAAAAGCCCCAGTTTATAAACTGACTAACTGACATTTATTTTTCAAAATGTGTCCTCTAGTTTCACTTAAACATACTGTTGAGATAACATTTCAATTGATTTGGATGGATCCACTCAAATCAGTCTCATGAAACAGATACTGTGATGCTGTGTAAGCATAGCAATGCAAGTATAAATCACCAAGTAAAAAACACTGCCTATAGTAGCAAGAGATCTCTAATCTAATAGCTCATTGAATAAAATCATAGAAGTCTCCTAATATCCTGTATGCTTGTAGTATTGCTATGCTTTAAAGCAATAACCTGCAACCATAGTCTTCTTGCTTAGCTAATGAAACTGTCTAAAGGATTGAGGTCATAGAACAAATGTCATCACAGCTCACTGAAAGCATACACACAAACATCAATACACAACCTTTGTCTTATGTTCCAAATTTCTGGACTTCAGGAGAAACAAAAACTAATATGTACTAAACACTAAGTGCTAGTCCCTATGCTAAAAAGTAGTAATATCGCTATTCCCATTTTACAGATAGTATAGATATTATAACTACCATGCTAAAAAGTAGTAATATTGTTATTCCTATTTTCATAATGGTTAAGTAACTTGACCAAATTCATATAACTTTCAAGAGGCAGAACTTGGATTAGAATTCAGCCTAGTTAAATGCTAAGGTCTAACCTCTTAACCACTATACGATCTCTGTTGTATTTCATCAATTTAGCAACAACATTTTCCTAAATGAATTGCTAATTGATAGTGTAGATATGAAACCAAGAAGTTGTGAAATGTAGTGGGTGAAAATAGTAGTTAAATAAAACAGAATATTATGCCATTGTGAATAAAAATCACATTATCAAGTTTTAATTGGTCTGATCCTATGTATGAAACTTACTTAATCAAGTCTAATGGCTGCTCCTTGTAGAAATAGGAAAATCGAGCCCAATTCTGGTGAAGTATGTATCTTTCATTGGTGGGATTGGGAGGTTCTGATGGCTTCCAATATTGACCCTGCAGATATTCAAGAGGAGGGTACATAAAAGATGAAGCAAAAGACAAAGGTGAAGTAAATAAACACTGCTGTTCTAAGAAGGTTAGTAAACAAGGGTATGTTTTCTTTTACTTTTAGATTTCATATTCAATTGATATGAAATTATTTCACAAACTATAATAATATTTATTTATTAAATTATCACACAAAGATATCTCAAAATACAAGTAAAAGTGTAAGACTTTGGCTTTACTCAAGCTATTCTTTCACGTGGAATGCCCTTTCTTCTCTGCTCAAATCCTAATACAATATTCCAGGCCCAGAGAGCCATATCACTATATAACTAGATAGGACTTTAGAAATGGGCTAACACTTTTTTTATAGATGAAAAAAGTAAACCTCAAGGAACGTTAAGCAATGAATCCAAGGTCATACTGCTATTACGGGAAGAGACTCCTGTTCTGTCCTTTCTTATAGCCACTTGCCAAAGAACTTAAAATATTACAAAAAACTTTAGCATTTAAGGGGCTCAGTATTGCTTCATGCATAAGCTCTTCTCCCATTGTTAGATACCGACTAATATTATTTATATATTTTCATGGCCTAGCAAAGTATTGTGTACACTGTGGCTGTTTAAGACATTTTGTTTTCACCGTAGACAAATGAACTGCTGAAGGCAGCACTGAATAGATATCCAGTTTAAAATTTAGCACATGTGAAAATATATATATGATAAGGCGTTAAATTTTGCATCACCAAGATTCCAACTTTTTTCTTCTTCTGTAGGTAATTCAACTGAATCTTAAGAAATTAAACAACCAAAAAAGCAGCCTATGTGGGTATTTTGAAAAATGATTCTGTAAAGCACATAAGGGAAAATCCAGTACCTAATGTTGCATTCAGAAGAAAAGAAAGATTAAAAAGTAAAATCAATAGTAAGTTATAGCTATCTCTAGTTAGACAGCTCAGTGACATTGCATTTCCAATGAGCCTATATGACTCTACTGAAAAGCTACATGTATAGTTTAAAACTGGTGATGACTGAAGACATTAGTTTGGCTTTATGATATGGCATTGTAAGGATAGAATTAATGCCCTAAAAATTAATTGAAAAAAAAACTCAAAATCTCTAGAAAAAAGAATGAGCCCTTTTGTGAAGAAAGATTGGCACAGAATGCAGTGCAAAGTGTTTATTAACCTACTTTAGATCTCTGCTTTACCAAATGTCCATGTTATTGTTTAGAATCTATAATCTCCTAAGAGTTTCTTTGCCCCAGGAAAAAAAAAATGTGACAGTGGGCCCTCTGTATCTGTAGGTTCTGAATCCTCAAATCTATCCAACAGAAGATTGTAAATAATTTTAAACAGCAGTAAAAAAAAAAGACACAGCATAACAACTATTTACATTTATATTGCATTGGGTATTATAAATAATCTAGAGATGAATTTAAGCATGTTGAAGAATGTGTGTAGGCTATATGCAAATACTACTACATTTTATATAATAAACTTGATTATGCTGGAATTTTGGTATTCAAGGGTCAGGGGATTGGTTCTGGAACCAATCCTCAGTGATTAGGTACCATATATGTGTTCAAGGGCTGTTGAATAAAAGAAGAGGCTGTTTGTTTTCTCTAATACTTAAGTTACTAAATTGACACTCCTGTTGAAAATGGTGACTCATTTTGGAAAATTTCCTTTACTTTTACAGGAAACACATAAAGAAAAAAAAAAAACTAATCAGTGTTGAACTGACTTAGAGTAAATTCTCATACTACTGAATAAATATTGCATATTGGCCAGTTGTGGTGGCTCATGCCTGTAATCTCAACACTTCGGGAGGCTGAGGCGGGCATATCATCTGAAGTCAGGAGTTCAATTACAGCCTGGCCAACACAGCAAAACCCTTTGTCTACGAAAAATACAAAAATTAGCCAGGTGTGGTGGTATGTGCCTGTAATCCCAACTACTCAGGAGGCTGAGGCAGGAGAATTGCTTGGAGACGGAGGCTGCAGTGAGCCAAGATTGCCCTACCACGCACCAGCCTGGGGGACAGAGCAAGATGCCATCTCAAAAAACAAAAGTAAACAAAACAAAAATTAAATATTAACAGAGGAAAACTAGCACAACAGACAAAGTCCTAGAAAAGGAAGAGCTTGGCTTTGGGCTTTTGAGAACTATTACAGCAACACTGTTCAAAAAATGGGGAATTATTTAGCTGCCAATTGTTTCAATTAAAATATTTGTTTCTTCTATTACTGAGAACTATATTTCTTGCAAAGAGAATACATCATCAAAAAGTCTTTTTAAGTATGGAAGAGTAAAACTGTAACAAAAGAAACAATAAAAATAGATGTCCAAGGGATGATCTTAAAGTAGAATATATACACATTGAGCCAAAGGATTTCTACTGTCAATAGGTGGTGAAATTTAAACACTGGCTATTCAAATGAGAAAGTTTCCATCAAAAAGTTTCCATCATCTGAGGTCAGGAGTTCAATTCCAGTCTGACCAACATAGCAAAACCCCGTCTCTACTAAAAATACAAAATTATTGTATTAGGCTAAGAAATTAGGCTGAGTACTGGTTCCAAGGCCAAGTTTTCAGGTTTGGTTCAACAGGCGAATCATGTAAAATGTCACTTCTCTATTAAACTTATAAACTCAATGTTTTCGTACAATGATTTGCCAGCCCCCCCCAAAAAATTCTTCTGAATATCAGTTGTCATAACATCTGAAGCATTCTTATGCTTTAGTTTATATTGCAATTGTACGCATGCTTTATTTCTAGGAGAGTCCTAGACTATGAGCTTGGATTCATGGTCGTGTTCCAATAATGGCTAACAGAATGCTTTACATATAATTGAAGCCAATCATGTATTTGATGAATGAATATGTGAATGCATGTAATTTAAATTCCTTACAGCTTCAAAACTTTATAAATGAGAAAAGAACTAATGGACTCAGATAGAAATTTCCAAATATTATGTTCTAAAATGTTCTTTTAATGTGACTGCTATTTTCAAAATGGGTTCTAATAAAAAGTCTTTTGCAAATGTAAAAGTTTTTAAAATACGTGTCCATTTGAAACTTCAAAGACACATTTAGTATATATCTCGGCATAGCTGGTAAAGCTCTCAGCTTGGAACCAGGAAGTCTTTGGGGATTTTCCCACCAGGAGAGAAAACTAAGCAATTTGAAGTAAAGGAAGATTCTCTCTCCCAGTAATGAACATGGCAGTAGGAAAATGAGCTCAGAATTTCACAATCAAACCTATACATACATCGTGGAGTGGATAGGCAGATGAATAAGTGTTAGAGTTTAGCAGCCTTTCAATCCCAAACCTTTTCTTCCCATCTTCTATGCCGAAAGGACATCTTGAGAGAATATAGTACACCTACAAGGTAAGTACAAAAAGACACTATCACATTTGAGAACTTATGCTTTCCACATTCCTTTAAATCACAATTTTAAAATGTCTACATTGAATGTAGATACAGGCTCTAATTATAGAAGGAAGCTTCTCTTGGTTGTCTGGAATATGTAGAGTGTGGGATTATATGGAGTTTGCAGATATTTTAGCTTCTGAGTCTGAGAGCTCCCCATTCCTTTGATGGGGTGAAGAGGTGAACGGACCATAATTTATTGTTTCTCCTGTCCAAACCTCCTCTTTAGTTCTTTGTGCCAGAATTTCTACTATAATTAGGGCTTCAAGTAGGAGACTAATGTCACTGCTGACAGTTCAATTGGGGGAATGTGGAGTAGAATTGATATTTATCCAAGCTGTCTTGAATACTTCTTCAATTAATTATTTTTACAAGGCCTTTTACCTGATATCTGAATTTATTAGCCAAGGTGATCCTATCCCTACAGCCACTTTGCAATGACTTGCATATTTCTATCAGTTTTATCCTGAATATAATTGGGCTTTGGTGTCCTCTGTTCTTATATTTCTGTGAATTCAATCTCATCTGCTTTTTATCTTCCAGCAACTCTTCAAAATTTCTGTATTTCTAATTGCTAAATTTGTTTTTATTCAGCACTGTTTTATACATAGTCCCCAACCTTTCCTTTCTTTTACATTTTACCATTCTAAGACTCTTTGATTGGAATGGTTGTAGTTCTTGAATCATCATCATCTAAACTCATCATCCATGTTAAGAGCAGCTCAATATCCCATCTTGGTAAAGAAATCATAATTTATGCAAGGTAGTTTTAATTTTTATAAACAATGTCATAAATATGACCTGTTTTACATATTTTGGATTATTTCCTTAGGAAAGGTTCACCAAAGTAAGAACTCTGTCTTGGGATGTTAACAAAGTGGAAATATTTATACTACCAGGTATTAAGATGTATTATAAAGCTATGATAATAAGTAAAGTATAGTATTGTAAAATTTAAAAAAAACTGAATTTAGGCCTGAAAAGACATTATTTGAAAAAAGTTATTGCAAAAGGTGGAGAGGGACTATTGCAATAGAAAGATTCAGAGATCTGCAAACATCTGAAAGGTCGGGCAGAAAAGTGATCTCATTAATAGGGAGAAGTAAGCAAGTGTCAGGGATGATCTTTCTTTATGCTAAGGAGGAGCTGCTACACATGACAATATTGGCTCAAGCTGAGGGTAGGTTAATGTCCAGGTTCTTATAGGGCGAAGAGAAGCTTAATTAAAGTTTGATCAAGTTAAGGTCAACTTCTTGTTCTGATGGATCAATAAGGATAAACAGTTCAGCTAACCATTTATAAAATGAAGAATGAGAATTTGGAGAAAGTGAAGTGTGTCTAGTCTTTGTTACCATAAACTGTTAGTAACAACAAAAGGGAGATACTGCAGGGGGAAGGATAGATGTAAAAGAAGTAGATTTTCCCTGGTGCCAAAAGGGAAAATGACTTCCCCCACCTCCTTTTACTCAGGATACAAGGGAGTCTTCAAAAGACTCATGAAAAATGGATATGTGTGGTTTTCAAATTTTATGCACAAAATTAAACTCATACTAACTTGTTATAACATGTCCGAACAGGATTTAGTTTGAGGGACTAAGAAGGACACATCAGTTTGAAAAGGGCCACTGTCAGAGCAACATAAATTCTGCTAAAATTGAAGCAAGAACAAATATCAAATTTATGGTGAAGCTTGAGGGGAGGAATGGTGACCTCACTAATGCTTTACCAAAAGTTTATGAAGTTTATGAAGACAATCCCCCTAAAGAGATCAACAGTTTATAAATGAATAACTCATTTTAAGAAGGGATGAGATGATGTCAAAGATGAAGCCAACAGCCGCAGACCGTTCACATCAATTTGCAAGGAAAAAAATCCACCTTGTTCATGCCCTAATTGAAGAGGACCAAAGACGAACAGCACAAATAATAGGCCAACACCACAGATATCTCAACTGGTTCAGGTTTCACCATTCTGACTAGAAAATTATAGTTCAGCAAACTTTCCAATCAATGGGTGTGAAAATTGTTGTACTCAGTTCACCTGTAGACAAAAGCAGTTTTCAATGGAAATTTTAAATAAGTAGAATCAAGATCCTTAAGAATTTCTTTGAAGAATTATGACAGGGATGAAACATGGCTTTGCCAGTGCTATCCTGAAGACAAAGCACAATCAAAGCAATGGCTACCAAGAGGTGGAAGTGGTTCAGGGAAAGCAAAAGCAGACAAATCAAGAGCAAAGGCCATGGCAACAGTTTTTTCAGGGGATGCTCAAGGAATTTTGCTTGTTGACATTCTGGTGGGCTGAACAACAATAGCTTCGGCTTATTATGAGAGTGTTTTAAGAAAATAGTGCCAGGCACTGCTCAAAGCTTTTTATGTCTGAACTAATTTAATTATCTAGGTAACCTATGAAGTGGATATTATTCCTGTCTAAGCACAAAGAAATAGTGGCACAAAACCATGATTCTTTGTGAGAGAGGTTTTAATGGGAAACTTAAAGATCCTAGGACTTCAAATGCAGAGAAAACAATACTATTTAGAAGGCAGAAAACAGTTTTAAATGAAGGAAAAAAAGTTTTGAGGTTTCTCAAATTCTATCCATATATAAAGAAATTAAAACATTTCATTTCCATTTGGAATGATAAATATTTCCTTTACTATGCACTGACTGTATAAAACCAAACTCTAAGACTGTAAAACCATTTTACAAAGATCTTACAAAATCAAAGTCCTCTAGATCTCAATTAATTGCTTTTTCCAATACTGTATAACATCTCTTCCTTTACTACATCCGTACCATGAACCACTCATTTTTAAACAACAGTTTGAGAGTTAGGGAGGGTAATGAGTTTATGTGGTCTAATTACACTTTCAAACTGTTCAATATCACCAAATGCTTATATCCTATACAGAAACACCTTGCAGAAATGGTATGACATCTGCACATGTATAAAAGCACACACAAGCATACATCTCGGATTCAAAGGGATGTGCCCAAAGGTCTTCTCTACCTACAATTCTGTTTCTTGATGAGGATGGAAAGAAGGTTGCCTGATCTTCGATGAGGAAGAGCTCCTGCCGATGTCTGCTGAATTGGGCAGTAAAGTATTCAGGATGGGGATACTTCACACTCGTTGGGAGGCTCACAGGCCCAAGCACATAGCTCATAGGAGTTTGCTTAGGTCGGGGAATATCACTCTCCTTAATAGGCATTTTGATTCCCAAGACTTCAGCATAGGTAACTAATACCTCCCAAGGGGCATGGATCTTGACAAAATAAGTTCTTCCATCTTCAGAGTCCTGCATAAAAAAAAAAAAAGCAAAATAGCAGAAAGCTTACTGATCAGTTTGTTACTGAGCTGATTAAACAAAATAAATAATATTTTATAAAATCTCAAACACATCAAAGTATTTTCAATTTTTTGAAATTTTCAGGCAAAACTTTGAGAAAACAAAATTCACAAAACATATAGTTATAGTTACATAAACATGTGTATATATATACATATAATGTGTGTATATATGTGAGAGACAGAAAGAAACATAAAAAGACACACACAAACAGAGAAAGAATATTTTTAAAAATATATTTCATGGTCAATGTATACTCATCTCTAAATCCACAATTACCTATGTGGTTCCGGGCAATTTCTTAAGTTTTTAGTAACTAGCTGTAAGTTCAAAATTTTACTTAGGTTATAATATAAGGGATACATATAGACTGTAAAATGTACTCACTCTTCTTACCCAACTTCTTTGTTTTGCCTACACAAAGAGGAAGAACTTTAGATAATAAAGGTTCATTGCATAGGAAAAATTACGGATTGTATGGTATAATAATTTACTAGTTCACTGAAAATGGGAGAACTGGAGAGTAATGCTTTAGGTTTTCTTTTTTCTTTTCTTTCTTTTTTTTTTTTTTTTTTAAGATAGAGCCTCACTCTGCTGACAAGGCTGGAGTGCAGTGGCACAACTATGAAACTCCTGGGCTCCAGCAATCTTCCTGCTTCAGCCTCTCAAGTACTGGACTACAGGCACAATGCCCAACTAATTTTGTATTTTTTATTTTTTGTAGAGACAGGATCTTGTTATGTTGCCCAGGCTGAAACTATTAGAAATTTCATAGATAGGGTAAGATATTAAATAGGACTTTAAAAACAATTTTGAAGGGAATTCTAGAAAAACAGTAAAAATCAGTTTAAAAAGAAAACTTGGTATATTCATGAACAGAAAGAATGTCTTGGCTTAAACAGCAGGTTATGCTGCAAGACAGCCTGGTTAATTATTTAGGGGACCAGATTATAGCCAGACTTCAAAATGAAACTGTTATGAGAAAAAGTCCACATCTTCTTTTTCTTTGTATCCTGAATGCAAACTGTGTCCATTTATTACTGCATATTCACAGTACTCATCTACTTACCTGTAAGACTACAGGCCTTATCATCCCAGTGCACATATCTGTAGCCAAAAGAGCTATTGTATTGCCTCCAAACACAGAGTCTATCTGGTCAAAGGCCAGAATAGGATAAAACAACACTTAAAGAGTCTGGTATAAATTATCAACTACATTTACCCTTTTGTCTTCGATTTCCAACTCAAGACCTGTTTTTCTGAGATTTTTTTCAAACTCTTTTCTTCTTTCCTATGACAAAAAAAAAAAAAATCAACACAATTATGCAGAACACTTTTGTTTTATTTGCTCAGTATTGACAGATTCAATATACAATGGCTGTGACTTTGGATGGCTCTCTGCCTCTCCCATGGTTGTATATAAAAGTGCTCCATCTGAATGTCAGGTACTGCTTTTCTCTTATGCTATAATTCGCAACAACTACAAAAATGCAGTATATCCAGGAATAATCACCAGGAAATACGCAGAGCCTATATCTGAAGAAATGCACAAAACTTCACTGAATAACGTAAATTAAAAAACTTTATAAACAGAGAGACATGCTCCAAGTTGAAAAGACTCACTATTACAAAGATCAATACTCTTCAAATAAACTATATATTTAATGGAATTTTAAGCCAATATATCATCAAGACTTTTTAATCCGGAAGGACAAAATGGCTTCACTTAGCAAAAAGTAAACTTAAATTTAACTATAGGTCATTACTGAAAATAACCACTTGGGTGCCTAGTTTTTCATTTGTTTGTTTGTTTGTTTGTTTTGTAGTGACAGGATCTTGCTCTGTCACCCAGGCTGGAGTACAGTGTTGTGATCACAGCCCATTATAGCATCAAACTCCCGGGCTCAAGTGATCCTCCCCAGCCTCCTCAGTAGCTGGGACTACAAGCAGGTATCTCCACACTTGGATACTTTAAAAAAGTTTTTTTTAATAGAAACTGGGTCTCATTATCTGCCCAGGCTGGCCTTGAACTCCTGGCCTCAACTGATCCTCCTGCCTTAGCCTGCCAAAGCACTGGGATTACAGGTGTGAACCACCCATCCACCTTTATTAAAGCAATGTATTGATGACAAAAAAAGTATTTTTATATTTTAAGACATTTTTATTGAGTTAAAATACACATATATAACTTACCATCTTTACCATCTTTAAGTGTACAGTTCAGTAGCAATAAATACATTTATACTGTTTTTCTCCCTTTATCTCCCTCCTTCCCCTTCCCTTTCCTGGCTTCTGGTAGCCACCAATCTACTCTATCTTGAGATTCACATTTTTACCTCCCACACATGAGTGAGAACATATGACATCTGTCTTTCCGTGCTTGGTTTATTTCACTTAACATAATGGCTTCCAGTTCCATTGATGGCTGCAAATGATAATATTTCGTTTTTTCAATGGCTGAAAAATATTCCATTATATGTATTTGCCACGTTTTCTTTACCTATTCATCCAATAATGGGCACTTTTCCTTTGCTGTGCAGAAGGTTTTTGGCTTGATATAATCCCAGTGGTCTATTTTTCCTTTAATTGCCTGGTCTTAACCAAAGAAGTCTGTCTAGATCAACATCCTGGAGCATTTCCCCAGTGTTTTCTTCTAGTAGTTTCAAAGTTTCAGTTCTTACAGTCAAAGCTTTAATCCACTTTGATTTGATCTTTTGTATGGTAAGAACTATGCGTCTGGTATTATTCTTCCATATAATTATCCAGTCTTATCAGCATCATCTATTGAAAAGCCTACCTTTTCTCCATTGTATGTACTTGGCCCCCTTTTCAAAGATGAGCTTGTTTTAAATGCATAGATTTAAATCTGGATTCTCTATTCTATTTCATTAGTCTGTGTGTCTGTTGTTATGCCAGTACCTTATTGAAGGTATGAGATGCAGGATAGTCATTTAGTTATGCACAGTTGGAAGAGAAATGTGGACTGGAAAAGTAAATTCAGGGATTGTATGATTAATGTATATAAAATCATAAAATATATTATTTTAAAACAGTAAGACAGAATCATCAAATACATCAGCGTAAGTTAAGGAAAGGTGAGGATTAAGGACTGTGTCCTGAGGCACTTCAATACTAAGAGATTTAGGAGAAGACTGAGAAGGAGCAACTAGTGAAATAAGAAAAAAAGTAAGATAATGTGGAGTCCTGGAAGCCACATAAAGAACATACACAATAGAAAAGGGAAGGATCAACTGTGTCAAATATTGCTCATAGGTCAAGTAAGATGAGGGCTAAGGCTTGACCACTGGATTTTATACAAGGAGATGGGCAGAGTGGCTGGGACGAAGGCTTGAAAAGAACGGGATTAATATATAATTGAGCAGAAAAAATACAGAAATAGTAGATAATAGGAAAACTGGGACAAAAAGAGGGTTTTTATTCATAACTTTTTAATACAGAAAATTTAACAGCCTATTTGTTCATTGAAGAAAATGGCCTAGTAAAGAATATCAAATATAATTTAGGAGAAAGAGGAACTAATTTTAGGAGCAATATCCCAAAATAAGTATACAGAAATGAGTTAACAAAGCAGGCATTAAACTCCTATCCTTAGAAAGGCCTGGCTGCAACTTTCAAAAGGTTGGTCCTAGTGTCTGGGACTTGCTTTTCTGAAGAGTTCCTTCCACTCCCAGAACTGATAAGAGTGACTCATTTTGCCTATACTGTTTTTCCAAATAGTGTTATTTATGCTGAATATCTGCTTTCCTTCTGGGAGTATGAAATTTTGGTATGTGCTAAGCTGAAGGCGACAAGGTAACCAGCCCCTAATAAAAACCTAGTGCACTTTAATGGGCTTGCCCAATAGATATTTCACATGTGTTTTCATACATTGTTGCTGGAAAAAGTAAGTGTATATCCTGTGATTCTACTGAGAGAAGAATCCTTACAAGCTTGCTCCTGGTTTCCTCCAGACTTTGTCCCATGAGCTTTTTCCCTTGCTGGTTTTGCTTTTTATCATTTCACTGTAATAAAATGTCTCCATAAGCATGACTATAAACTGAGTCCTGTGATTCTTTGTAATGAACCCCCAAACCTGAGGGCTATCTTTGGCACTCCTGAATAGTAGGCAAGAAGAAACAGAATGCAGGGCACACGTGGAGGAGTTGCCTTTAGGTAGAAGGATAAATAGTTGGTCTATGGTAACAGAGAGTAAGATAGCTTACACAAGCAAAAATCCTGGTGGATGGACAGATGTGGTAGTAGAAATTTATAGGTTTTCTCTTCTTGCTTCAGTTTTCTCAATGAAGCAGAAAAATGTGATCAGCTAAGCTTGAAGATGGGAGGAGGTGTTGTAGGTGTGAGAGAGAAAAAAACATTATAAAACAGTCATCTAAGAAAGTGGGAGGCAATAGAATATGGAAGGAAAGTATGATTGCCACAAAGCATAAGGACCCAGTTAAGGTCCATGGGCACGAATGTAAGGTAAAGTCAGTCAGTAAATTGTAAGTTTTCCTTTCTGCATGTGTGCTGGCATGTAGTAGGTGGGGCTGGGTTTAACTAAAGTTGTTGTTTTGTCAAGCACAACTGGGAGAGGGGAAAGGGACTTGATGAGATATGTAACACAGTAATTACAATTGTTGACCATGAGACATAAACTGAATAAAGAGTGAGAGGGGAATAAGAGCAGCAAAAATCAGTAAGATGATTGCATCTTATCTGGTCCTGGTGAGGTGGAAGGAGGAAGAATGTGGATCAGAAAGATGTGAGGTGTAATCAGACAGTTGTACACATAGAATGAAATTATAAATAGTTGCAGTTATTAGTAATGACAAGTTCTAGGTGAGTGAATGGCTGAGTAGAAGCTAAGATCATTGGAAAAGGGAGTTCAAGGAACAGAGAGGCCAGGGTGTCAAAATAATCATCCAAGTATGAATTGATATTATCAATGATTTAAAAAGATTGCTGGAAAGACTGACAGTGATCTAGGAGCTAAAATTGTTGAGGAATAGAAGATGCAGAGACAGATAAATAACAAAAACAATTCAGGATAATAATAAATCTGATGAGATTTAAAGCTCAGGAATTTCAGGGACAAGTGAAGGAGAACATTAGCGACAAGATACAAGGAGGGCAAGCAGCACTTACCCCATCTCTAGGGAAATGCTCTGTAAAGAAAAATAACCATCATTTGAGAGGACTGCTACAGGAATGTTCAGAGAAGAGACGAAAATGATGACGGTTCATGAATTTCAGAGGCCTGGTAGAAGGCTTTCTAGACAGTGGGTGGAAAAAAGGGACAGACCTGTATGTGTACAGAGTCTTGGGGGAATAATATCTTTATTTTTACTTTTTATTTTATATGACATTTATTTTGTAAGTATATAAGTAAATGTGTGTATAAAAATGGATTACTTTATGATTTCAAATACTGAGTATTTATTGAGCATCCATTATAATCCAACCACTGTTCTAGGATTTGGGTATATAGCGATAAACAAGACAAAGTACTTGGCCTCATAAACTTAATTTATAGTGTTGGAGACAGCAAACAAGTAAAAACATGAACAAATAAGCTCATAAAGTGATGTGTAATACAAATAAAACAAAATCAGGAATAGAGCACAATATAAAGGCACCTGGAGGAATAGATTAGTCATACGTTTCCAAAATGAAAATATCATACAAAAGGCAATTATCATATTCAGACACATACCTCAAATTTTGGATGTTACATTTAATACTAAAGTGAGCTATAAAAAGAATCAGATACTTGGAAGAAGAAGAAAAAGAAGTTAGCATGCAAAATATCCAAAAAATAACATTGACTTTACATTTCTATTCTTAAGCTGCCTACTTTACAGTTATCTCGCTCAGTTTAAGGTTTCAGTAACACTTAAGGGCTTTTCACTTTTACAACATAATTCAATGCAGATATCCATGTGAAACTATAAAATGTGCTTCTTTTTATTATTCCCACTTCTCTTATAATGCACTTACCGCCTTTAACTCTGCGTCTTTCTTTATGTCATCAGCATAGGAAAGCACAAAATCGATTTGCCTAATCCCGTCTCGGAAGAAGATAGAATCTTTGCTTTGCTGATTTTTTTGAAACTGCAGGAGACATAAATGACACAATTGTAAATTATAGTTTTATTCTGAAATGGCAAAAGCACAAAAGGAATTATTTATAATTTGGTCACCAGCTACTTTTTTTTCAGTCTTGAAATGACAAGTCAAGACAAATAACCAGAGTTTTTAGCAACAGATTATGTTTTGTTTTATAGTGAAATTCCATATAAAAGATTAAGCAATAATGACTCAGGAGGAAGATAAGCATGTTAACTACATGGACATACAACAAAAATGCTGCAAACATACCAAAATATGAAATGGATATATATATACACACACACACACACACACACACACACACACACAGATCCCAAAATGCACAGAGACTGACTTGTTATCTTTATTAAACAACATCTCACGTAGTCCACTAAATAATTCATGGCTACACGCAAATTTGGGGGTACAATTAATTACAAACCAATTAATGGAGTCTCACTATAAGAAAACAAATGTATGATTAATGTTTATTCTATGTTTTCATAAAATTGTCACTTCCTAATTCAACTTTGTAAGGATTAAAATAAAATCAAGGTGCAGTTAAATATTAGAAAGCAAGTAGCTTATTAGCTGGCATCACAAGTTAGGTTTCATGCAACTCGCCCTTCAACATCAATTTCCCAGGTGAGCAAAAATCAATTCTTTGTTTAAATTTGCAAGAATTATCTCAGTATAATAATTACACTTATAAGTCCAACTTTCACATGTTGTGTAGTTAGTTCATTAGTTCCTTCACTTTAAAAACAGCAAAAATATGACAGTGCTTCAGAAGAAAGAGATTTCATGTTTGACTGATTTGGTTTTCTTTTAAAGTTTATATCTAATATTTAATATTCATAATAGCCTACATGTATTATTATACTTAGAATTATGCAAATAGATAATACAGTGGCTGTCAATGAGATAATTTTTCAATTGCTTTAGCTCACCTGCGAATGAGTAACTATATGGTTTTAATTTTGACAACCAGTGTTCCTATTAATTTATGAGTTTCTTTTATTGTGTACCCTATGGGATTATTTTACCCAAGTCAGGTGAGACAGGCCTCCCAGAAAAAGGAATGTATGAGGATCAGTTATATGCGAATAAGCCATAAGTCTCATGTTTGATCTGTGGTCTATGAACAAAGTAAGAGCATTTACATAGCTAATGAAAAGCTGATGTGTCTCAGAAAAAAACCAGCTCCCAATGCACAGGAAGAAATGAGTGGAAAAGGGAACCAATAAATTAAAAAAAAAAAAACATCTAAGGAATCTAGAGATTAAGTGCCAAGATATAGTGACTCAAATGTTATGTCTGAGTTCTCTTCACCTCAGCCAAAGAATGCATAACCATCTTCTATTTCCTAAAAGAAAGTAAAAGAATCTGAGAAAAATCAAACTGCTATCACACTATACTTTGCTTATAAATCACTAAAAATTGAAAAGAAAGAAAAAACAAAACCAAACAAATCATTGGCACTCTTGTAAATCATCACAGCATTAGCATCTTATGAAATCCGCCAAAATTCTTGGAAGGCAACTGAGGCAGAAATAATATACTACTTAGACTAAATAAAATCAAAGCTCAAAAATTAGAAGAAAAAAATAGTACTCTTGCCCTAAGTCTGTGACAGTCACATTTTGTATGATAGGGGTTTTTTGTTGTTTTTGTTTTGTTTTGTTTTCAAAAACTAATATATTAACAGGTACTTATATTGTTTACACAAGCTAAATCTGGGTACACAAAGAGCAGTTCTGGTGACAGAATATGTGCACACAGGAATTAACAAAACTCATATTCAGAGTATTTGACTAGAAAATAGACAAAGTAGCTAAGAGAATAGTAACTCCAATGATTTTCCTGAGTGCTCAGTCAAAAATAGGTAAACATACTGTCGTCCTGAAGGCCAAAGGCTAGCTAGGAAAACCCGAATTTCTATCATTATATCACACCCTGACGATACACTATAAATCTGTTTTAAATATGGGGAAAAAATCACTGGGAGCCTTGTAAGTCACCATGAGGGACATGTCTCAGGACTACTAATAAAAATCAGTTAAGGCTGAGGCAGAAAAATCTGATAATTCTGTCACATATAACTGAATGTTACTAAAACACATCATGATTTTGTTTTGCTCAAAACATGATATAAATACATTTTGTAGTATGTGTGGGCATTTGTGTTTATACTTGGCTTGTCCTTAGAAATACCTATTTGTAATTATGTAAACATCTGAGTGGCTTCTCTGTAAAGGATGTAGTTATCCTGTGGTTCAAAAACCTGAATTACCGGCTGGGTGTGGTGGTTCATGCCTGTAATCCCAGCACTTTGAGAGGCTGAGGCGCGATGATTGATTGAGCTCAGGAGTTCGAGACCAGCCTGGACAACATGGTGAAACCACTCATCTCTCCTAAAAATACAAAAATTAGCTGAGCATAGTGGCATGCCCCTGTGGTCCCAGTTACTCAGGAGGCTGAGGTGGGAGGATTACATGAGCCCAGGAGGTTGAGGCTGCAGTGAGCCGTAATTGCACCACTGCACTCCAGCCTGGGCGACAGAGTGAGACTCTATCTGAAAACAAAACAAAATAAAACCCTGCATTGCTGATGAGAGTTCATAAACCTCTGAAACTGTGTGAATTGTGTGTGTGTGTGTGTGTGTGTGTGTGTGTATACATTTTAGGAAGAGGATCTATAGATTTAATCTAATGCAAAACAAATTAAGAATCACTATTCTTAAACTTCAGTTGCCTGGGGACTAGGAATCAGTGACAATGTTCCCCTAAATCAAAGTATTCTATTAGAAGAAAAATAACTAAGGCTACCACTGCAGCCATTCAGAGCATAAGCAGCATCATTCAGCACTGGTTTTACCATAAGCCGCCGCCTCAGGAACAAATTGAATCGCTTTGCAGGCTGTGAAGCAACCAACAAAGAATTAGCAATTCCTGCCCAGAATTACAGTAAAGATTCCAAAAACAGACACAGACAAACTAACCCTCAATATGATCATTTTATAAATGTATGTGTGTGTGTTTGTGTGCATGACATTTCAAACTGGAGGATAGAAATTAGCAAGGAAAAAAGAAGAAAAAAATGAGAAGAAAGCAATTAACATGTAAAGAAAATAAGGAGACTTCAAAGTAAATTTTCCTAAATTCTTTAAACAGCGACTAAAAATAACAAATATTTGTGGATTTATATTTTATTATATTTATTTCAACTTTGTTTTAAGTTCAGGGGTACATGTGCAGGATGTGTAGATTTGTTACATAAGGAAATATGTGTCACGGGGGTTGGTTTTACAGATTATTTCATCATCCAGGTATTAAGCATAGTATCCAGTAGTTATTTTTCCTGCTTCTCTCCCGCCTGCCATCCTCCACCCTCCGAAAGACCCCAGTGCGTTGCTTCCTTCTATGTGTCCATGTGTGCTCATCATTTAGCTCCCACTTATCAGTAAGAGAACATGCAGTATTTGGTTATCTGTTTTTCTGTTAGCTTGCTAAGGATAATGGCCTCCAGTTTCATTCATGTCCCTGCAAAGAACATAATTAAGGAAGAGAAAAATAACAATAACAAAGGAAAACATGAAAATAATAAAAATATAGAGTAAAAAAGATATTTTGTTAAGTATGCCTGTGTATAACCAGGAAAAGAAAGTAAAATTACTACATTTATACTGAGATGATGTGTAGTATGGAAAGTTTACCCAGGGTTTTTTTTTTTTTTTTAATTTCATGAGCATGCAATATACTAGATTACAAAAAAAGTCATTCAGTTATTCAAATGCTGAGTTGTCTCCAATCTTCAATTACATGGTCATTATTTAAAACACAAGGTCAATTACCTAAAAATATCTGGGATACTCAACTATATTTGAAAGAAAACCAAACCTATAGCATAAATGAGCAAGAATTGAGTGTATTTTATACTGTAATGAATGGATAAATAAATACAATTTCTTAACCTAGTCTCTTCCTGGAATAGGCTGAAGAAGTCTAAGCAACTGGTGAAACTATTGGAGTGAAAATTTCTGCCCTGTAAACTAATGTCGTCCATATGTAGATAGAGTAGTTAATATTGCTGTTATTTAAAAATACAAAAGATATAAGACAAACATTGGTCATTGCATAAAATATATTTTAAACTATATTATTTTGACGGTCTGAAATTTTTCACTTCAGTATTTTTATTTTCTTGGCATCTTTCACGAGATTCACAGGTTACTATTTTTCTCAGATGCTTTCCCTAAACTCATTAAAGAATTGTTAAGACAAATGAAAGAGTCCCACACTAAAGGACCATGCAGGGCCATATTATGACTTCCATGGATCATAGACCTAAACATAAAAACTAAAAACTATAAAACCGAAGAAAATCTTAGAAAATCTCCCCCACTTTGGTGTAGGCAAATACTTCTTAAATAGAACACAAAAAGCATGGATGATAAAAGATAAAATATGAGAAATTGAACTTCTATACTTCTAAATGTGCTTTTCTAAGAACACTGCATGTAAATGAAAAGGCAAGCAACAAATTGGAAGAAAATGTTCACAATAAGTAAGATTGACAATGGTCTCACATCCAGAATACATAAACAACTCTTACAAGTCAATACAAAGATAATCAACTCAATTTTTTTAAATGCAGAAAATATTTGAATGGTTCACAAAAGAAGATCTATGAAAGTCCAATATGCCCATGAAAAGATGGGCAACATCATTATTTATAAAAGAAATGAGAGTTGAAATCACAAGATATTACTACTCATCCACTAGAATTACTGAAATTAAAAAGCTATCAATATCAATACCAAATGCTGGTGAAGATGTACAGCAAATAGAACTCTTATACATTGCTGGTAGGAATAAAATATGGTACCACCACTTTTAAAAATAGTGTGACAGTTTTACATAAAGTTACACCTATATTTTCCACATGACCCAGAAATTCTACTCCTAGGAAATTACCCAAGATTAATGAAAACATACATCTCTAAAAACACTTCTTACATGAATGTTCATAGCAGCCTTATTCATAATGGTCTTCAAACTGAAAACTATCCAAATATCCATCAATGGGTGAGTAGACAAATAAATTTCAGTATATCCATACAATGAAATATTACTGAGCCATAAAATAAAATAAACAATGATATCTCTAGTACAGATATATTCAAAAAGAATCAATTTACTAGTAATATTGGAGTTTTGGATGAGTCTTAGAAGCATTATGATGAGCAAAAGCAGCTAGAAGCCAGATACAAACTAGTGTATACTATAAAAATCCCATTTATATATTATATTAGGAAGAAAAAAAATCAGCAGTTGCCTAGAATAGGGTAGGAGGAAAACTGCTAAGGGGAACTTTTTGAGGTAAAGGAAATCTTCTACATAAATTTTGTTAAAACTCATCAAACTACACACTTAAAAAGGGTGAATTTCATTGTATCTAATGTAGAACCAATGAAGATAAAACCTTTTTTTTAAAATTTCGGACTTGAGCAATGAAAAGAATATATTGCGTGTTGTTGCTGAGATGCAAAAGACTTCAGACAAACAGGCTTTTTGGTAGGGGAAGATCAAAAATTACATTTTGGACATATTAATCTTGAGATATCTTTCAGACATCCACATGCATATAATAAGAAAGCATTTGGATATTTAAAACTGAAGTTGAGGAGAAATGACTACACTCGAAACTTAAATTTGAGAATTGAGATGGCATATCAATTGTATTTAAAGCCAAGAAACTGGATGAAATCACTAGGAGACTGAATTAATGACTGTATCATAAGGTGATAATATCTAAATATACTCACATATCAATTATAAATACTGTGCTAATATTCATACTAATTGCTTCTTGTCATTTTACTCAAAGGCCCCTTCTGATTGGTTTGTGCCTATGCTATATCAGTTATTAAATATTTGGAATATCATCCTTGAGGTTAACAAGGCCCATACTCCTTCAAAATCTGCTAATTGCATATCTGTCATTATTTAAGCAAACTTTAGTGTATCTTTTCAATTCCCATTCTTTGCTTACTAAACTCTAAATACTTACCTAACTATTCTGTCCAGTCCCGTATAGTAGTCACTTTAAGATAGGTTATCTTAAGCATAATAGTTTCCATCTTGCTATATTTCATTCAGTGGCTTTACTGACCTTTCTATACTCACAATCTGTGTAACTATTTAGGTACTCATCCACTTTTCACTATTTTATTTCAAATAGAATTTTAAATTACATTAATTATTCTATATTTATAAAGTAATTGATATTGAGTTTCTGTCATAATAATGACAGTAGAAACCGCAAGACTCTATTTTTTTACCCAAAAACATATCCAGTGATATTCTGTTGGTTTATCCCAGCACATTCGCTCTCCACTCCTCTCCACCCTGCTTTTGTCCTGTGCAGGTAACCAAAGAGCTCCCTTGACCTCTTGGTTCTCACGAATGATTGGAAAGAATAGATAGTGTTTTCCTTCCTAAGGTTGAATTCAGGAAGGCTGTGTCCCCTCACTAAAGGTCATTGTGCCCCCTGATAATGTCTTTGGTATATGACTTTTTCCTTTTGGGTTCCAATAAGTGCTCCTTACACTATTCCCTTCAGTTCTATGGATCTTAATAAATTCAAGATTACTAGACCTATATATACAGAGAGTCCCTTACACTCCATTTTTGTAAAAGTCTTTATGAAGTCCTTCTTAAATTATCCTACACTGAGTAGGCCTCACAGGACCCTGATTTATACAGATTTTTCTTTTGTGATATTTCTATGATAGAAAAGAAAAAAAAAAAAAAAAAAAAAAA